GACAACTTTTCAGAAGTTGATTCTCTCCTACATTAAGATTTATTTTTAATTATTATATGCCTGTATGTGCACATGAGTGTGAGGGCCCATGGAGGACAGACATATTGGGTACCTAATGTGGGATCCCCCTCTGTATGCTGTGAATACCATTGGTGAATAAAGAAACTGCCTTGGCCTGTTGATAGGGCAGAACTTAGGTAGGCAGAGAAGACAGAACTGAATGCTGGGAGAAAGGAGGCAGAGTCAGAGAGAAATCATGTAGCCCTGCCAGAGATAAACGCAGGAACTTTTCCTGGCAAGCCACAACCTTATGGCGATACACAGATTATTAGAAATGGGTTAAATTAATATGTAAGAATTAGCCAATAAGAAGCCAGCGCTAATGGGCCAAGCAGTGATTTAATTAATACAGCTTCTGTGTGATTATTTTGGGGCTGGGCAGCTGGGAACCAACAAGCAGCTTCCTCCAACAGGTACCCTGGAGTTGGAGTTGTAGGCATTTTTAAGTCACCTGACATGGGTGCTGGGAACCAAACTTGGGTCCTCTGCAAGAGCAGCATGCTCTCTTAACTGCTGAGCCGTCTTTCCAGCCTCCACTTTGTTTCTGAGGCAGGATCTCTCGTTTCTGGAGCTCACTGCCTCTGAAAGCTTCCAGAAGACTGCCCTAGCTCTAACTCTTGTCTTGCTGTAGGAATGCTGAGAAAGCCACTATAGCTTTTTTTTTTTTTTAATGTGGGTTTGGGGATCAAACTTGAGTTGCCAAGCAGACAGAGTAAGTGCTTTTAACTACCAAGCCATCTTGCTCTCTCCTGTCACTATCAGACATGCTTTCACTTGGTAGAAGTTGGTTTCTGAGCTGTGACTTAGAATCCTGAAATCTATCTACAATTTATACCATGTTTCAAAAGTCAAAACCTTCCAAATATGAGGAAAGCTGATGTACTCATGTTGGCCTCAATGAAGTCACCTTTGGGCATTTCTGATGCTAGCACTTACTGCTCACTTCCCAACAGGATGGATTTCAGTGCATTTTTATTGGCAGCTGTTAAAATCAAACAATGTGTTGTGTTCCATAGCAGAATTAGGTATGTAATATTAAAAGAAGCAGAAAGTTTATGAGCAGGTAGTATAACATATCTTTTTTATTCATTCATTAATACAACCTTTTCAGTTTCTCCCTACTACCTATTTTAGGTATTTTAGGATGTTGTAGCTATTTTGTTCAAAACAAAATACTCCTTTTGGAATTTACATTAAAGACAAAACAATGAAACAAACATCACTGGACCTAGTGGTGTAGGCCTTTAATTCCAGCACTTGGGAAGCAGAGGCAGGTGGATCTATATGAACTCAAGGCCAGTCTTGTCTACATATCAATTTCCAGGACAGCCAGAACTACAGGGGGAGAGAGAGAGAGAGAGAGAGAGAGAGAGAGAGAGAGAGAGAGAGAGAAGCAGCTCAAGTTCAAAATGCCAAATATTGACTCTCATTGCAGCCTGCTTTTAGAAGTGAATCACCTGCCATGACTGGAGGTTGACCTTTCCTTGTGGTTTCCTAGAAGGTGACAGGTTATATATAGACATTTTTGACATTTTTGAGTGGTTAAAGCCATTGGATCTGGGGCCAGACTAACTGACATTAAATTTTAACACTAATACTCACTAGCTGTGCAAACTCAGGTGAATCAATCTCTCTGAATCTGTTTCATCAGCTCCAAGCTAATTCTAATACCCACAGAGTTTTAGATTAAACGAGATGTGTTTGTCCCTGATGACTGCTATATGGTTAGTCCAGAACTGGTGATTATATTCATTCTGGAAAAGCCAAACAAAGTCATAAATACTTAAGGCACTTATGTTATGAAGCATACAACTAGCAAAATTGTTATCCAAAATGACATCCACTATGACTCAAGATTCCAAAGCTTTCCCAAAATAGTACATTTGTTATGTTTTAGGCACAGTGAGAGGCAGTAATGCTGTATAAGACACATTCCTGTCCTCCACAGACTTGTGGGTAAACAGCTAAGTATCATTTCCTACTGATGGTCCAGCGACACCATCTGACCTCTCATCACCTATTTATAGGACCAATGGCTAAGCAACTTCAAAAGGATAGAATACTGCCTGCCTGGAAATTATTTAAAATCCCTACTGGGTTTGGGGTGGAATTCGGTGGGAAAACACTTGCCTAGTATGCTCAAAGCCCTAGTTTGGATCCCATCAACACAAAAATAAAATGCCTATCTGGGCTCAAGAGATAGCTTAGTTGTAGAGCACATGTTCAACATGTAGCAGGCCCTGGGTTTGATTCCCAACATCACAGAATAAGATATTGGCACCTTAATTTTCTTGTTTATAAAATAGAGTGATGAGTGTTGGGCACAGTGTAGAAGTTTCTGTCCTGCCAGCAGCTCCCAAATAAGCACCCTGAGACTTACATTAATTATAAATGCTCAGCCGATGCTTCAGGCTTGTTACTAACTCTTACAATTTAACCCATTTCTGTTCACCTACATGCTGCCCCACGGCTCATGGCTTTTTCCTCTATCCCATTTTGTGTGTTTGACTCGTTCGGCAACTGGCTGGGGACTCTTCTGACTCCACCCTTCCTCATCCCGTCTTTCTCAGTTTGGCTTTTCTGTCTAACTTTATCCTGTTCCTATTGACCAGTCAGCTTGTTTATTAAACCAATCATAGCAACATATATTCACACAGTGTACAAAATGATTATTCCACAGCACATTAGGTATCATACGCCGCCTTTAATCTCAGAACTCAGGAGGCAGAGGCAGGTGGACCTCTGAGTTCCAGAAGACAATGAAGGCTTCAGAATGAGACCTTGTGTCAAAAACTAAACAAATAGAGAGATGATAAGGTTACAATAGTCAACTCCACTCCATGTTGTGTTCTAAGGCTGAATTAGCCCCAGCAAGAAAAAGAAAAAGAAAAAAAAAAACAAAAAACAAAACCTCTAGTCCCAAATACAGAGGAAGCTAAAGCAGGAAGATGATTTATTTGAGGCCAGTCAACAGAAAGACTGCATCTCTTTATAAAGAAGCAGGTGAGTTTGATGACCTGAGTTCAAATGAAAGCCAGGGACCCACATAAAAAAAGTTGCATTCAGTAGCTCCTGTCTGTAATCCCAGCACTCCTATGGGTTTATGGGAGTCAGAGATAGGAGAAGCTCACAGAGAAGCTGGTCAGAAGTAGCTGGTAGCTGGCAAAGAATGAGGAATGTTGAGAGTAATCCTGCCTCATCTGGGCGGTGGTGGTGCCCGCCTTTAATCCCAGCATTTGGGAGGCAGAGGCAGGAAGATCTCTGTGTGTTCGAGGCCAGCACGGTCTACATAGTTAAAAAAGAGAGAAAGAAAGAAAGAAAAAGAAAAGAAAGAAGAAAGAAAAAAGAAAATGCTCTTTTAAAGGTAGATGTAGGTATAGAGTTATCATACTTATTGATGCTTATAGAAGATTTTAACCAAGGTTACCTATCTGTGTGTAGCAATGTGGACGAGGTTAGTAATAAAGGAAACTACAATATAGTCATGTATCACATAATGACATTTTGATCAATGACAGCAGAAAAACTAACATTTAATGATTTGGGCATTGTGGTACATATCCTCTCACTCATGTGATTATGCTAATTCAGGGCAAACCTACTGGACTGTCAGTCACGAGAAGAGATTGTACATCCTAGTGTAACTAATAATGCCTGGTCATGGCAAGCATCATGCTGTGGTCCATGTACTTACTGTAGTTTAACATCTCAGAGTTTCCTGCTTCTACTTATAAAATGGAAGCAGTGTACATGTGACACCAGAAGCATCTTTGTGTTCACTGAAATCATCTGATTGCACAAAGAGCCATAAGGACCCACATGGACCATCCCATTGAGGTTTCTGAAAATACACTCTCCAATGTTCCCACAAGAGTAAAATTTCCTGATGATGCCATTCTCTCAACACATCCCTACCTTTAAACAATTTGTGTGTGCATGCATGTATGTGTGTGTGTGTGTGTGTTTTCAGTTCTGGGAATCAACTCCAGGATTTAGCCCTATTCATAGCTCTATTTTTTGTTTTTTGGGGGGAAGTTTTTGGGAGGAGGGAGTTGGAAACAGGGTTGTAGCCCTGTCTGTGAAGCCTTGGCTGTCCTGGAACTCTATGTAAACCAGGCTTGCCTTGAACTCCGAGAGATTCACCTGCCTCTGCCTCCTCATGCTAGGATTAAAGGCCACTACCACCTGGCTCGTAGTTTTCATATACATGTGCATATATATGCTTATATGAATGACAGGTAGATTTTATAACATGCCTGGTGGCACAGACCTGTAATTCCTGCTATTCAGGAGGCTGAGGCAGGAGGACAAAACATTTGAGGCCAACTTAAGTAACATAGTAAGACTTTGTTTCAACACACAAAAAAATTGAAATTCAAAAAGGGTTGTTTCTGGGAGGGGTGGTGCATGCCTTTAATCCCAGCACTCAGGAGGCAGAGGCAGGCAGATCTCTGTGAGTTTGAGACCAGTCTGGCCTGCACAGCTAGTTCCAGTACAACCAGGAAGGGCTACAAAGAGAAATCCTGTCTTAAAAACACAAAAAGGGTGGAAGGGGGACTGTGGAGCTGGGCAGTGGTAGCACATGGCTTTAATACCAGGATTTGAGAGACAGAGGCAGGCAGATATCTGAGTTCGAGGCCAGCCTAGTCTAGAGAGTGAGTTCCAGGACAGCCAGTACTACATAGAGAAACTCTGTCTTTGAAAAATAAAAATAAAATAAATTCCTGTTAGCCCTAAGATAAGGCCTCAATTTCCCTTCCCAACCTTCTACTTTAGCCTCCAGAATGCTGGGATTGCAGACATTGCCACCACGCCTGCTATCTTAGGACATAAAACTATCCAGCACAATTGACCCCTTATCAACCTGACACATAAACAAATCACTATAAAGTCACAACCTTTCTTTTTTATCCCCAGGTCACACATTGATAGAAACATCACAGTAGAAAACATTTTACTAACAAGAAAATCCCACAGCCTTACAAATTCAGTCTTTTTTTTTTTTAATCCAAATTCTCTGTAAAACTCCAAAATCTTCTGTTTCACAAAAGCTAAGTCTTTCAATGTGGGCTCCTGCAACATAAAAAATAAGTACCGTTATACTTCATCAGGGGAAGAACTAGGGCAAATTACAATCTGAACGAAGCAAAACCAAACTCCAACAGTATAAATAACTCAACATCCAATGACCGGGGTATGCTCACAATCTCCTGGGCTCCTTCAAAGGGCTCAGGTCACTTCTGCAGCTCCGCCCTCTATAGCACCCCAGCTTGTCTCCTCGGCTCCAGCTGGCTCCACTCCACACCTGCTGCTGTTCTTGGTGGCTACCCCATGGTACTGGCGTCTCCAAAATGCTGGAATCTTCTCCCGAAACTAAGCTACACTTTCACCAATAACCTCTCCTGGGCTCTCTTCAGGGACTCTAGCATTGCCACACAGTGCCAAGCCTCAGCTGCTCTCCACGACCCTTTCATGCCTTCAAAATCAGTACCAGCTGGGTGACTCATACTACCAAGTTCAGCTGCCAGCATGAGGTACAAACCTTGGCCGTTTCTGGAACACAGCTTTCTGTGTGCTGATCCTGAGGAAACACTTCCCAGAAGGCTTCACCTCAGTGATATGCTTAATCACATCTGATTACTTTGACCCATTGTTCCAGCAAAGCCAAAGTTTTACTTTGGTGATTCTGATCTCTTGTTAACCACAGACAATTCTTCAACTCCAGCTGACCAGACACCACAGACTCTTCACACACAAGGCCTGGTTAAGTCTTTGCTTCCATCTGACACTTCACAAGCCAGGCCTCCATCGTTTGCACTGCTTTCAACATTCTTATCTTCCAAGCTCGTTCAGAACACCCCACTGAGCTCTCAACACTCAATGACTTTTCAAGCCCAAAGTCCTTAAACAGTCCTCCCAAAAAACATGGTCAGGGCTGTCATAGCAATACCCCACTACACTGGTACCAGGTACCAGTTTGCCTTAGAATTTCTTTTTTATTTATTTATTTATTTATTATGTATACAATATTCTGTTTGTGTGTATGCCTGAAGGCCAGAAGAGGGCACCAGACCCCATTACAGATGGTTGTGAGCCACCATGTGGTTGCTGGGACCTTTGGAAGAGCAGGCAATGCTTTTAACCTCTGAGCCATCTCTCCAGCCCTGTCTTAGGATTTCTACCGCTGTGAAAAAAACACCATGACCAAAGAGCAAGTTGAGGAGAAAAGGGTTTATTCTGCTTACACTTCCTTATCAGTGTTCACCATCGAAGGACAGCAGTCAGGACAGAAATTTCAGCAGGACCAGAACCTGATGGCAGGAACTGACACAGAGGCTATGAAGAGATGCTGCTCACTGGCCTGCTCCTGTATATTGCTCAGTCTGCTTTCTGATAGAACTCAAGACCTCCCACCCACAATGAGATAGATGGTCCCCCCATCAATCACTAATTAAGAAAACGCCCTACAGTCTTATCTACAGCAAGGTCTTATAGACATATTTCCTTTTTCTTTCCTTTCCTTTCTTTTTTCTTTTTTTTCCCTGTAGTCCTGGCTGCCCTGGAACTCTCTCTGTAGACTAGGGACTGTCTTCGAACTCAGAGATCCTCCTGCCGCTACCTCCAAAGTGCTCGGATTAAAGGAGTACGCCACCACTGCCCAGCGGTTTGCTGCATTATTAACTGATGTTGTTGAGTGCCGGAGTAAAATATTTTCCACAGTTATTTTGGGAAATATTCTGGGCGGTTTTCAGAGCAACAACCAGGATGCTGTCTGGGATTTATTTGACCTTAAAAAAACTGTGTAGGACAGACAAGGTCCACAGTTTGTTCTAGATTTCTACTGGTCAGATCGCTTTCCCCATTGGCAGCAGCCTGCATGCCTAGTTCCCCCTCCATGAATTTGCATCTTGACAGGATTTGCTGAACCTGCAATTGAACATTGGGTCATCAATTGTTGCTTAGCAACATCAAATCACACAGCTTGGATTTTCATCATTATTATGTACTTTCAAAAATTTTGACCAGAAATAGGGAGACTTTGAATTTAGCAAGTCAGCCCAGAAGATTGATGAACAAAATCCTATATAAACTGATGTTCAGTTTCAAATATGTTTTTATTTAAGGGCTCATCTTAGGACATGCATAAAATTCTGTAATGTGTATCTGTGCCTCATTTTTAATACCTCATTTTATGCCCTCCCAATCACAACCAAGATGTTACCTCCTGGTTTTCCTTTCCTCGGAAGCTTTTTTTTCCCCCTTCCAAAGTATGTCTTCTCTTCCTCAGAACCTATTCAGAGAAAAGGCAACTTCAAACCCTCTTTGGGAAGAAAAACAAGATAAAAATATGAAGCTGATTCTGAGACTGCATTGCAATGTGATTGGAATGAGTAATGGTTTCTCATTCTGTTTAGCATTTCTCTCCACCTATCAAATGTGGAACTGTGCCATGTCTTCCTCGGTGAGGCGATATTACGACACGGCCAGATAACTCAAATAGCACATTACAAGGGGGGGGATCTATATATTGTGGCTTTCACTTTTTTTTGGAGTCACAGGTACACGTGGGTGGGTACACGTCAGACAAAAGTCATCAACTAGAATTTATGATTAAAAAGATCATTTGCAACTTATGGAAGCACAAAGAAACCTCGATCGTTGGAACATAATCTGACAACTAGAAAGCATTCACATAAAGAACCAGAGGGTCGGGAGAAGACGGGGACTTTCAATCCGCAGCGAGGGCTGCAGTGGTCTGTGGGTTCTGGCGCTTTCCACGCCCCTTACGTCAGGTTTCTAGCCCCCCCCCCCCCACCTCCCGCCCCGAGGCTCGCCCCACCCGCGGGGCCTGTCATGCTGCGTCTTTTCCTGCGGGAGCGCAGAGGGACAGTTCCTGCGCCTGCGCATTGTGTCGCTGCGCGCCTCCGAGGCCGCCGCTCGCGCGTCCTCGGGCTCTTTGCGCGCATGCGCGCTCGTACTCCTCTCCCCGCGGAGTACGGCTGAGTCAGTCAGTCTGTCGGAGTCAGTCTTCGGGACAGCCTGCGCCCGGTACTTCGGAGAGCCAGCTGCTGGATCGTCCTGTGTCCCCTCCCACTCTCCCGCCCCACGTTTCTTTTCACCACTCTCCCGCCCTTGCTCTTACAGCCATGGCGGAGTCGTCGGCGGCCACTCAGTCCCCGTCAATCTCTTCGTCGTCCTCTGGGGCCGAGCCGTCTGCGCTCGGCAGCGGCGGGAGCCCCGGAGCCTGCCCCGCCCTGGGGGCGAAGAGCTGCGGCTCCTCGTGTGCGGGTGAGGCGCGCGGGGAGCTCGATCCCTGGGGAGCGCGAGCGACCGGGTCTCCGGGCGGGGGCGGG